TTAACTTACCTTCGGATGTTTAGTCATGTTTATTTTGTGCTATAACTAGTAATAAAGTGGAGGAGATGATCAGTTCACTGAGGCGCTACAGCGATCTGTCACTCCACATTAAACAGCGCCTAAACGGCTTTTATTGTTTCAATACTGCAATACAACGGACAGAATTTGAAATCGGAGACTTTGTTTCATATTAAAAGTACCAAAGCACAATGATTATTGCGATTATATTGGATGGGAGTTGCGCTTCTAGGCTAATTGATTCTTGGGATTTAAGAATCGATATCGTTTCGTAAAATCGAGATATCTGTATTTTTTTTTACCCAGCCCTACTGTTAACTGTGTTCATGTGCCAGACCGCCGCATGTCATCCTGTTAACTAACGCCGATCTCGCTCCGCAGATAAAGCGGCCGTACTTCCACGTCAAAGCCTTGGAGAAGACCCAGCTGAACAACTGGAGGGAGTACCTGGACTTCGAGCTGGAGAACGGGACTCCGGAACGTGTGGTGGTTCTGTTCGAGCGCTGCCTGATTGCCTGCGCGCTCTATGAGGAGTTCTGGATCAAGGTAGTTACACGCAGCTGCCGCTCGCGCCTCATTCTCTCTCTCCACCCTTTGACCTCCTTCATCACTTCCACAGTAAAACTTGCTGCACTCTTTGCGTGTAACGTTGATATTTGACTGTATCTGTTATATTAGGGGATGGTCTGCTTGCCACACAAGATTTGACCGCAGCATTTGCCAACTACGTTGCACCTCTCCGTCTCCTTCTACCTTACAGAAACTTATCTTATTGGTTCCATGAAGGTGCTGATGGGTTTAAAACAGAAATTCTCAAAACGATCTTGTCAATGGAAATTCAGCAGTGCGGGGATGTGAAACGAAAGCTCAATTTTTATGTGCTCTCTTCCCTCTTCTTCTTCTGTTATCTCTCTCTGTCGCTCTCTCTGTCTCTCTCTTGTCTTGTGAAGTACGCCAAGTATCTGGAGAGCTACAGCGTCGAAGGCGTCCGACACATCTTCAAGAAGGCCTGCAGCATCCACCTGCCCAAGAAACCCACCGTTCACCTGCTCTGGGCTGCGTTTGAGGAGCAGCAAGGTAAAATATCAGACAATGCTGTCCAATGGATGGATGCATGGTTTCTCCTTGTGGAGCATCGGTGAGCGTTTGAACCTTCTGTAATAGTTGCATATGAGTCCCTCAGTTGTCCTCAGTGTGAAAAGATGCATCTCAAAATCATGCAGTCATTGTTGGAAAGGGTTCAAATACACAAAAATGCTGGAAAACCAAAGAATTTGTGGGAGCTGAGGGGTTTTTCTGAAGAACAGCAGGAAGTTTAACTGTCACAAAACACATCACAAAACACAAAAACAGCTGTGGATCATTCAGATAACACAGTATTAAGGGATTGAAAACTTTTGAACGGGGTCATTTTTATAAATTCAACTATTATAAATTTAACTATTAACATCTTTTATGTGAAATAACTTATTCAGGTCAGTACTAAATAAACAACAACAAGCATTTTGTATGCTCCCTCTTATTTTGGCTGACATAATTAACATTTTGCAGATACAGAAAGGGGGATGTAAACTT